TTGTTGCAGCCCTAGTTTAGAGGCTTTCATGGATTTGGTTCCAAACAAGTTCACGGCATGTTGGTTTTTCTTGGTTCTGCATCATCACTATAAGTCCAGCTTGTTGCTACTGTAGACTAAACTCTGCCCGTTGTGTCTGGCCCAGTTGGGTTTTTACAGAGGATCATTCTGCTGGTCTTTTCAAGCCCTGACCTTCATCAGCCATTGGATTATTTCACATTGGGAGAAAGCATGAGGGTCAACTTCTCAACCAGGAAAAGATGAACCTCTCCTTACAGGTCAGAGGTCAGTATCTGCTTTAATTGGAGGAGTTTTGCCCATGAGTGACAGTAGGACGGACCGATAAAACCACTGCTACAGCCTGTTTTAGTGAACAAAAAGCTGGTCTAAAGATCATCAGATATGGACCCAAGAACAAGATTCCAGAAATAAGCAGCTCCTATGAGATTCCTTGAAAACGTGCCTGGACTGATCCGGGGTTGGCTTGGAGTGGAGCTGCTTCTCTCATCAAAAATTGACAGATCTTTTGGAAAACTCATGGGGGAAGTCTGGGTCACGTCCAGCGAGTAAATGAAACAAATTTAAACTAAATTTATCAGGGTTTGTTGTCTTTTTCTGAAAGTCGAAGGCAATGTTGAACAATGTCTACATTTATTAGAGAAAATTAGATAATTTTTAATTGACTCATTAAGGTTTTTACCATTTTAGCACAAATACAAAACAGTCAGAGAGTATTACAGACATGTAAAAATTCCCTGCTGGCCTGTTGCTGTGTGTGAAAGAAATCAGTACGCAGAAACTGTTGCCCCATATCCTTGCTCGCAGCTCACTATTTGTGCAACAAAAGGCCGACATGCAGAGACACGCTGAGCCAATCTTTCTCAATGAGTGCCCTGCCAAACAAGAGGCTTTGAGGATTACGCGTTAATCCTCATCAAACCTAGAAACACTACACGCACTGAACACCACAGCTGGGTGCTAAAACAAGGATTCTTGTCTAATTCAGCTCGTCCAGATCAAACTACATCTCAGGGGAAATAAAGAGATCAAATTGCACAAATAAACATTTCAAGTACAGGTAAACGAAGAAAGTTAGCCTCACTGATTGGTTTTCTACCTGATGATTTTAACCAAAGTGTGAGGAATGACATGACTATCTGAGAACTTGGGTCTTCAAAAGTCTTAAAGGCTCTCTTTTGAAGACTTAAGTCTTTAAAAGATCAAATTAAACTCTCTTAAGCATGAAGCTGTTAGGCGGCAGCAACTCGGGATAATTAGAGTAGGTTTTCTATGACAAACAACTTGCTAATATTAGATCTCCTGACAATTATTAGCTTTCTTCTGTACAATAACAGATAAAACTATTTCTGCTCAAATCTGTGGCAAACTGATTGTTCTTGTTAAACTTTGATTTGGATTTGATCCTAATCAACCATGACCCTCAACACTGGTGCACCACAAAGCTGTGTGGTTGGGGGGGCGAGTTGAAAATGCATGCTAACGTACCTTCCCAGGACCCAAAACAAGTGCTTAAGTGCTCTCTTGGAGGCCAACAGCATGCTAAAGAGCCCTCAATTACCCTTTGGGATTCAAAAATGTGTGCTAAAGTACTCGCTTCGAAACAAACACACATGATGAAGTGCCCTAAAGTGCCATCTTAGGGCCAAAAGCATGCTCAACAGTCTTCAAGTGCCCTCGGGGAGTCCAAAATGTGTGCTAAAGTGCCCTCTTATAAGCCAAAACACATGCTAAAGTGCCCTCAAGTGTGCTCTTAGGATCCAAAATGCGCGCTAAGCTGCCTTCTTGGAAGCCAATAATGTGCTAAATCCATCTTGGAAGCCAAAACGCACAATAAAGTGCCTTATGAGGATCCAATATGCATAATAAAGTGCTCATGCCCGCTCAAGTGCCCTCCCCAAAACTCATGTTAGTGTATCCTCAGGTGACCTCTCGGAAGCCTTGCCACAGGCTAAGGTTCCCTCTTGGGAGACAGCACGCTTATTAAAGTGACCTCAAGTTCCCTCTCGAAAGACAAAGCATTGGCAAAAGTGTCCTCCACAGTGGTTAGGACACATTTCATTTTACAGAGAATTCCTCTATATGAAATCATCTCCAGGGCTTCTCCCTTGAGTTTTGTTTAAATCTCTGTCTGCTCATATGGTCAGGCAGCCTGTCAGAAAGACGATGGTGTAAGGGATACGATCCTGCAGCCATGTTTCAGTAAAATGCTAGATTACTGACATTCTGACTGGGTCCTTGCTAGTGCAACATCATTTATCACATGGCAGAAGAGTTAATGGCAGGATAGCAAAGTTAGCTCCATGGAAGGAAGGGGAAAAAAAAAAGAAATCAAGGCAAGACCAAAGATATGTTTATCGGTTGCTTTTTCAAAACACTTCATATTTACTTTGAATGTAAAAAAATAAAAAAATAATGAGGAAATATGCCATTTTATGTTGTGTATTTTAAGTATATTTTATGCTAACTCTAACAGAGATTAGCATGATAATATATCATTAGACTATAGAAGAAATGGTTAACATTGTCACCCCCATCACTATACGGGGCGACAGTGGCGTTGGGTGTAGGAGTTTGCCCTGATATCAAAGAGTTGACGGTTCAAGCTCCGGCTTTCAGTGTTGTTGTGTCCTTAGCAAGACACCTTACCTACATTGCCTACTGATGGTGGTTAAAGGGCCCAGTGGCAACTGTGGCCATATGTAGTGTAAAGTGCTTTTGCTTTTTTCAAGTCGACCAGTCGACTTAAAAAAAGCGCTATATAAGTACCGGCCATTTATACACAATATCTGTATGTACCATTTACGTATTTATTCAGTTTCCTAACACCTACTATCGGTTAAAGCTCCTGCACATTGTGATAAAGTAGAACAGATTAAAATAATTCTAATTCTGTGTTGGATCTTCTGTATAACACTATAACCAAATTTAACCCTAGTTGGAGAGTCGTTGCTAAACTGCCTTTTAAAAGCAGCAAAATCCTACAGGAGTTAAAAACAAAACACAGCTTAAGTTTGTTTTTTGTCCAGGAGATGCAGTAAATCTAGTTTCAACTGAACTGTTTGTCCATATCGTCTAAAACAAACATATTCTGATCCATAGTCGATGTCGTCGCCTCCCCCTCAGCTGCTGTTTTTGTAGAGAAGAAGGCCTCCTTGTGACACGATGACAGCACAGCCTTCCAGACTAACTTATGACCAGAAATAGATCTTCTTGTTCTAAAGACATCTTTTATTAGCAACCTGAGAAGTAACAGAGTGAGGGCTATAAGCGACATGCACTGAACTGTCCCTTGCATGTGGTTATAGACATAACACCTCTGCTCTCTTCCTCTCACCATCAAACAAGCTTTTGAAACAAATCTACAGAGTGCAAATTCACATCACCAAATATGTAGGTCATCACAAGTAGCCTTCAGACCGGAGACAGTGTCTGCAGTGGATTTCCATAGAATTCCTACGTAAACCGCACAGGGAAGCTGTCATTTTCTACAATGCAGACATATCAGTGACAAAGAAACAACCACACCGCAGGGGCTGGGTGACATGGACTCAAAATCTTACCACAATATGGTTTGGTTCTATGGTGATAAAACTGCTGATAAAAAAAACCCTCTTCATTATTTATTTGAAGCCTTTCTTAGTTAACTTTATAGCCCCAATTTTTCCAATGCCCCAATGGAAATCAAATTAAAAAATACTTTCCTAATTCTTGGTTAGACGATAAATCAAAATTGTTAAAATGACTGGAAAATTTATCATGCTAGTGATAAACAATACTTTAAACGCCAAACTCTACACACAGCATAAGGGTGCCACCAACGCCCTGCCGGAATGTGTTTGTTTTTTTCTAACCAAACCTAAACTTCAAGTCATTTTACCAAATCAAACAGTCTCCATGTCTATAAAAGTGCGTTTGTTGTCTCAGTGTAATGCCCTACCTGTCCAGCAGAGGAGCTGTTGTCTCTTGGTGGACGGAAACAATCGGTGCAGGCCATCATCGCCTTCTGCATCGTCAACTTTCTCTTCACTTCAAAACGTTTGGTGTCTTTTTATCGCCTCAGAAACTAACTGAAAGTTTAACAAACGCCCTGATCTGATCTGTTTCTTATGCTAAACCAGAGCTGGGCTGCCAGATGGAAAACAATTAAATACAAAGAAAAATACAATAGATCCTCAAGCGGTGAGTTGGAAAAATCATCGAGAATAAACTTTGTCCTTGATTGACACATGGTGGAACCAATTATTCTGCTGCCGCTGTGTGTTTTAAACTGAGCTGCTCTGATCTCTGACTTCAGGATGAAAGTTTGCCTTTAGATAAATCAGTAAGGATGGATACATCCATTAAAGGGTCTTCAGATTTAATAAAACAGATAACTGCCAAACAAATATCTCCAAACTAGAAAAATAATTTAAACTTCTTTTTAAATAGGTTTGCCTTTCCCTACCTGCAACCGAGAGAACCATCAAAAGTAAAACATTTTACTGTCAAAGTCAAACAAACCCCTGACAGCAGCAGCAGAATGAGGATTAATCTTCATCATGGTGGAGTTAAAAAACCCTTCCTTGAGTTTAGAACCGGTAAAAACAGAATAGAAGGAGACGTTTCCTTAAATCCAAAGAAAAACTGTGCAGACTGAGTAAAAACAGGAAACACTCAGCTCTGGTTCCCCAGTCTATAAACCAACTGAGTGCTTCTCCTCCTCTCTTGGATTTTTTTCCTCCTCCCACTTTGTCATACTCAGTGGGATTAAAAACACACACACACACACACACACACGTTTTCCTCTGCACCATGGGGAATTTGGAGAT